AAACTGTTTATATAATTTTATATTTATTTTGATGAAATGTAGAGGCTTTAAGCATAAATCAAACAATGATTTGTTACACTAAAAATGGGGAAAAGCATGGTTTACAAAACAGGGATATTTTAGATATAGTAACTTTTGAAATAGTTATTTTACATTACGATTTAATAAGTCTATCACAGGGGTCGGATCAAAATTCTCTTACGCCAACATCGTAGAAGTATCTAGTTCTGTCATTCAATTGGGTAATATTAGTAAGTACTGAAGTGAAATAATATCTGCAAAAACTATAAAAAAAGTACCTTACCATGTTATTAAGGAAACCATATTGATGGGGTAGCCAAATAGACGGTTGTCTTCACCACTTCCCGACTAGCAATGTTTTGCGGTTAGGAAGTGGCGGCCAAGTTCATGTGGAAGTGTCAAGCGAATCGCGTTACATTTTTTGCTCACTTATTTCACCTGGAGATGTTATGACCACCCATGCTAGCGTATTATTACAATTTAATTTTTATTTAATGCTTGAAAAGGCACATTTTTTACATAAAGGTGAAAAACAAGCAAATAGTCTACCCGATGTGTACGAGGAACAGGAAGTTGCTGTTGCCAATTTCCTGTTTCAGTTTCCCTTAGCTGCCTCTTCACGAAACCTACGGGACGATATGGGGTAGATATGGATTACATGACGGGATCACAGAGGGCTTACATGGTAGACCCATGGTGCAGCTAGATTATGGTTGTAACATGAATGGGTTGGCTCGACCGGAGATGGACCACATTCCCACAGAATACCAGCTTAAATGAGCCGCTTTAAGCGGCTGTGTTTCGTATGGTGAGTGTAGATGTCCGGAGACCCTTCTTACTGGAAACGAGGCATACCATCTTAGTCCTCGAGGGTGGCATGTCTGTATTTTATTTGTTAACCGAGGATAGATGTAGTTGTCTATGGACCACAGCGTACATTAACCAAACCAGCGAACGAGCACTTGAGGACTGTGTGCTCGATCGTCATCCTTATTCTATAAAAAAGAGGATCTGGTGCTAGAAAAAAGTAACTAGATATGTTTTATTGTGCACCGATATTTTAACTACACTAGAACTTCTATTTTGTTGATAGGGCTATATGGATTTAACGTCCTTATGTAAACTATATTTCTAATAGAAAAAGAAAATAGTAAAAGAGGGGTATTTAACAGCTTTAGTAATAGATATCTTGCTTCATTGGACGAAAACGAAACTTTTTCGTAGAAACATTAATCTGTTATCAAATACATCATAAATTTCTCCTGTTTCATACTTTGAATTACTTTTGTCACTGTACACCGTGTAACATAAACAACGCAATATAATGTATACATATATATAAGAATGAAATGTTCGTTTGTCATATCGAAATTACTCCCTTTTTTGAGCTAACCGGGTTTTTTGCACGCAATAAAAACATGAATAACCATTTCGTAAATTTTTGTCAGTCTGTCTGCCTGTATACGTCCCAGTGCTAGACACAGGCCTTCCGTCAATTCTGAGGGGTTTTTAGGGGAAGGAAGTGTCCGCCGCGCTGCCCCAATGCGTGTTGGCGAACTTCACATGTCTTCGAAATATTTTTTTTCCTTATTCCTCAGACGTGCAGGTCTCTTCACGATGATTTCCTTCACCGCCGAGCACGTGGTAAATCAGTACTTAAAATTGCAATTAACAATTTCATTGGTGCCGGCGGGGATCGAACCCGGGTTACTCGCGTTCTAATAGTAAAGTAATGAACAGTAAATAAAATTTTCACCTTACGCCCGTATGAAACTTTAGCGAAACGACCAAACCACATATTTTGACTAAGGTGTAGAGTTTGTGAAGTTAGGGCTTGTAGAGTTAGAGTGTGTAGAGGTAGAAGCATGGATCTACATGAGACCCAATCACTTTTTGACAGTGTGAGCCATATGGTCTCGTCTTGGAAACATTTTTGTTGAACATGCTTATACGAGGAAGAGCCATACTGTACTTATATTAGTAGTATAGTTGTAGCACGAGTGGGTCGGCTCGACCGGAGAAGTACCATGCTCTCACAGAATACCAGCGTAGAACGGCAGCTTAACGCTGCTGTGTTTCATATAGTGAGTGTAGATAACCGGAGATCCTTTTTACTGGAAACGAGGCATTCCGTCTTAGTCCTCACGAAAGAGAACGCACTTGCATTTTGATTCATAATCGAGGATAGATGTAGATGTCTATGGGCCACAGTATCCACTTACCATCAGGTGGACTATGTGCGCGTTTATCACCCTATCCTATAAAAAAATATTACATGAAAATGTTTTTGACGAGATTTCACTTCTTTTTGTAAGTTGCCTAAGACATTTTTTTTATTTTGTTCATTTTTCTCTCTTTTTTCGGGGTATATTTCTTGCACATCAGAGGTGCTTTTTTCTATGTACTCTCTATCTTTACCATTTTCTTTGTTGCTTTACTGTTTATAATAAGCGATAGATCAGGGCGATACTTAGCTCTTAAGTTATATTCGACTATGGCTGACTGTTGACCTTTAATTCTACTAAAGTCAATGTTTATATTTTTAATTTGTAATAAGATGTCTGTGTACTTGTATAATTTTCAGATCTCTAGCATGGAATTAACTTTGTATGGAAAAACCCATATGCAAACTTACGTCCCCTAATGATTTACTAGAAATCCTAAAATATGTATTTTCTTATTATTATTATTTATAAAGAGTTGCATCAATTTTCAGACCCCTAACGTCAAAATTTGCGGAAGTCCCATACAAACTTTTATACCCTAGTTTATGTTATTTTTGTTAGATATTTTTGTACTAATACTAGCTTACATACCAAAGTTTTCTAAGACTTCAGGAAGTATCTTAAGAATTGTAATGATCAGTAGTGAGCTAGTGACGAAATCGGGGTGTTTTAGATATTAATAAAATCTAACTTATAAAAGCTATGCAATTTAAACTTTATACGTTTAATATGTCTACTATTGATATCGTATCCAGAGAATTTTGTTTTGTGGTATAATCCAAACCCTGGTTATGAGGATACAAAAAAACGACGAAGCGCCTTCGGTTGGCTCGTCTTGGCGGGACCGCACTACCGTACCCCCAGATATTTTATCCGAAAAACTTGGAGATTTTTTTTTGAAAAACCCAAAAACTTATAAAATAAATGGTCTTTGAATATCCTGAATTTAAATTACACCTTAATATACCCTACCCAGTTGTGCAATAAAATGTAATTAATACGTGGTCCGTCACTCGGTATTAATTACATATCATTTTTTTATAGGATAGGGTGACAAACGAGTACACAGTCCACCTGATGGTAAGTGGTTGCTGTGGCCCATAGACATCTAAATTTATTTTCAATTACGAATCAAAATGCAGATGCGTTATCACCCGTGTGGAATGCCTCATTTCCAGTAAAAAGGGTCGTTTGAAACGATTTCACTGGAAACATCCAACGACAGGTCTAATTAGGTCCTATTATATATCTAAACAGGTCTATATTTTTATACGTGGTAGAGCCATGCTGCAGTTATATTAGTAGTATAGTTGTAGCACGAATGGGTCGGCTCGACCGGGGAAGGACCACGCTCTCACAGAATACCAGCGTCAAATAGTAGCCTAATGCTGCTGTATTTCGCATGGTGAGTGTAGAGAACCGGAGACCCATTTTACTGGAAACGAGGCATTCCATCTTGGTCCTCACGGGTGACAACGCATCTGCATTTTGATTCGTAATCGAGGATAGATGTAGATGTCTATGGGCCACAGCAACCACTTACCATCAGGTGGACTGTGTGCTCGTTTCACCCTATCCTATAAAAAAAAAAACGAAAGCATTAACATTTGTTTTGGGATTTTAACTTGCTTTTCGTCTAAAATCACTGCTATCTATTCGTATAAAAATCTATATTATGTTTTCGTAACACTGACATGTTATATAAATATGGATAAAAATTATCACATGTTTATCAATACGAGATAAATTTTTGTCCTCAAGGTTGTTTAGATGATTCGTATATTATCCTTTTCTTTGCCGCGTAGTGGCGAAAGAATACACTTCCCGATATCATCTCGAGTGGCGTGAGAGGCGACAGAGGAAGACTGAAACAGGAGATGGTCCGCAGCATCTTCCTTATTACGACTCGAAATATTTAAACAAACTACATTTGCCAACCCGTGTGTTAACTATGACAATTTTTTATTTATCCTTTATTGCAACACAACTTCAACTAGGGGTTACAAGGGCGGACTTAATATCCTATGGCATTCTCTACCAGTCAACCCTATGAAAGATAGAGTAAATAAAGATGTTGGCAATGTGCAATTTTATATATATACTAGCTTGCCAGGCAGACGTTGTACTGCCCTTTTCGACGACCCTTTGTCATGTCCTATTAAAATCCCTAAATCCGCAAAAAAAGATTGTGGGTCACTCACGGGCAAAAAAACTATTCTATCTCTCAAGTTAGACCAAACTACACACGGTGTGTAAATTTGATTAAAATCGGTTAAGTAGTTTAGGAGTCCATCGCGGATAAACAACGTGACACGTAATTTATATATATAAGAGATATATATATATATATATATATATATATATATATATATATATATATATATATATATATACATACATATATATATATATATATATATATATATATATATATATATATATATATTAAAATTATTAATATATAGTATATAATATACCACATCTTTTTCTATAATAAATCTCACCGACCTAACTAAAATGCGATATTACTATTATAATTTTCGCATTTTTAAAAAAAACTACTGACTATAATATTTCGAAATTTCAAGAGTAGTGAATTTTTTTTAGATTACCAAATCATTTGCGGTTTTTTTGAGGTTACACGTATTTGTTTTTTTTTAAACTACCGCTACTCATATTTTAAATACCGTTTTAGAATTAAATATCATAAGTGTACCGTTTATCCCTCTTATTTTAAGATGCTATTTGTTGCAGGCTTGGTGAAACTCGGAGTGCATTGTGTGACCGGCAAGAAGGTGGCCATAAAGATCATCAACAGAGAAAAACTTAGTGAATCTGTACTAATGAAAGTAAGTTAATTTAAATTTCTTTCTCTCTTTCTTTCTTTCTTTCTAAAATTTGCGTCTTTAATTATTATTTTGTAAAATAAACGTTCGTTTGCCTAACTGGTTTTTCTTTTGGTGAAAAATGCATTCTAAGGTGATCGTGCCAGACAAACGCTTTCTTCATGTGCCTCATGTAACTTTTAAATTACATTATGTGTTTAGTTTCTTATTCCTATGGAATGCGCTCTATTTGCCCGATATACATACATACCGCAACAGACATTGTAAGTTCGTAATAGAAAATAATAAATTGATGTAGATAGGGAACGGTGCTGCAAATTTTTCTCCGTGACATATACTCGATATAAAAATAAAATTTTTGACATCTAGAAACCCTTAAATGAAAAATTTTAAGATCCTCGAAACAAAAAAAGACGATGATCCTCAACGGCTAGAACTGATTTTCATGAATAATAGCTCAAAACACTCTCGATCAAGACACTTTTCAAACGAAAAAAATCTAAATCATTTCATCCGCTCCAAAACTTACACACAGACAGACAAACAGATGCACATATACTTACTATAAACTTATAACACCCCTCTGTTAAGAGATAAGGTTATACATCTAAAATCTAAAATAAAATAAATAATATTTGGAAAGTATGTAATGTTTTAATTTATCTTAAACTCGTCAAATTTGAGCAATCGGGCAACTTTCATTCGCTTAACACGTCCAACTAAGATGCTTTAATCTTGTTTAATATATTAACATGTAACTTTTGTTGAACAAAATTTTTTAAACGTAATTACTTGAACTTTTGTAGTATTAACCTTACCTGTACAGCCTATTGTAGTCTACTGTTGAACATGGGCGTCCCCCATAGAATACCTGATTGGAGGGGGGGGGGGATATTTGTCATAGTTGCCACGCTCGGCAATCGGGTTGGCAACCGCAGTTTATTACTTTTAGTCGTTATATTAGGAAGATGCTGCTACCCATCTTCTGATTTGTTTTCTCTGTCCTCTCACGACACCCACGGGATGAAATGGAATAGTGGATATTCTTACACCGCCACTACACGGTGACTTATAATTGCAATTAAAAATTTCAGTAATCCCGTCAGGGATCGAACGAGATTTGCTCGCGTGCTATGAAGTTTTAAAGCGGGTTTTTATCCCCTGGGCTATTACGACTCTTCTAGGTCCGGTTAGACTTACTCAGTTTAGTATAAGTCTCAATACCATAACACATTTCATACGTGTTAGAGCCAAGGTGCAGCTATATTATGGTTGTAGCACGAATGGGTTGGTTTGATCGGGGAAGTACCTCGCCCTCACAGAATATCAGCGTAAAATAGCAGATTATTGCTGCTGTGTTCGCATGGTGAGTGTAGAGAACTGAAGAACCTTTTTACTGGAAACAATGCATTCCATTTTAGTCCTCACGGATGACAACGCATCTGCATTTTGATTCTTAATCTAGGATGTATTGAGATGTATATGGGCCACAGCATCCACTTACCATCAGGTGGACTGTGTGCTCATTTGTCACCCATATTCTATAAAAAAAGATTTTTTTAAAGTTTTTTAATGAAATCACGGCTTTTTCTTTTCTACATTTAATTACGTATAAAGCTACCTAATCTATTAATAAGTGAAAATATAATGAAAAACAACCGACTTGGAACTACCGTTGATGACCCCAATAAATAAAAATAAAATAAAATCTAAGGAGAAAATGTAATTACAAGAAACTTAAAAGCAAAGCTGTTGGTAGTAAATTGTTTTGTAGTAAAATTATTCTTAGTGCACTGTATCGTATCCTACGATGCAAAGCAGGCTTAAGAGGATCTGAAGTGCAATTTAGAAAGTAGTTTCCATGTAGGTTGACTGTAATTACATTTACTACATTATGGTTCAGTATACAGAATCTACAAAATCTTTTTTAATATTTAAATAAGCTGACAGAAATTTATCTATAACTCAAATTTGTATGTGTAAGTCTTAATTGTTAATTTTGCGTCATCATCATCATCATCATCATGACGCATCAGATTAACATGACGCAAAGTCTTACCTAATTTTTAATTTTGCGTGCCTACCAACAAAATGGAACTCGCCCTAGTCTGTCTATTTTTTATAGGACAGGGTGACAATCGAGCACACAGTCGATCTAATGGTAAGTGGTTGCTGTGGCCCATAGACTCCTACATGTATCCTCGATTACGAATCAAAATGCAGATGCGTTGTCACCCGTGAGGACTAAGAGAGAATGCCTCGTTTCCAGTAAAAAGGGTCTCCGGTTCTCTACACTCATCATACGAAACACAGCAGCATTAAGCTACTATTTTACATTTGTATTCTGTGAGAGTGCAGTCCTTCCCCGGTCGAGTCGACCCACTCGTGCTACAACTATACTACTAATATAACTGCAGTATAGCTCTACCACGTATTGTCGCAGAGGTTTCTTTAAAAATGCTTTACGTAGGCTGTTATAACTTTGTGTAGTTATAATATCATTATTCACAAGTCCACTGTTGAACATAAGCCAGGGAATGTGATGAGAAAGTTGAGGGAAACTGTTAGGGGAAGTTATAACAAAAAATCCTATATCATATTTTATATGAAACTAGCTTGCCAGGCAGACGTTGTTCTGCCCTTTTCGATGACCCTTTGTCATGTCCTATTAAAAACCCTTAAATTCGCAAAAAAGAAAACTGTGGGTCACTCATGGGTAAAAAATACTATCAAATCTCTCAAGTTGGACCAAACTGCACACGGTGTGCAATTTTGATTAAAATCGGTGAAGTAGTTTAGGAGCTTATCGCGGACAAACAACGTGACACGTAATTTATATATATTAAGATTTGTAAAATGGAATTATCTGAAGAAGATTTTGCCATCAAGTGTAGTTTGTCCCTATGTTTCATGAACTTAATCAGACCGGGTGTAATCCAAGGCTTTAGAGTTATAATTTTTTTAGCTACTGTGATACACGAAGTATTGCTAACGATGGCATTTCGTATGTTATTTAATAGGTCCTTACATATGAAATTGGTGTTTTGTACGGGAGGAATATAAAGTATTTTTTTTTTGTAAAATCTATTTAATTAAGCAATGTATGCACCGTTGTTATCTATGCACTTTTGCCATCTCATAGGCAGTTCATTATTCCTTTACTAAAAAAAAACATGGGGGCGACAATCAATAATTGAAGGAGGTTTGGACTGCCGTATCGAAGTTGTCCAAATTCCGGAATAATGGTAATCTGTTGGAGCAAGGTCCGGGGAGTACGGTAGATGTCACGAACATTCCAATTGTAACTCATCTAACTTAGTGGTTGTTTATTGTGCGGTGTGTGGTCCTGCGTTGTCGTGAAGCAGCAATGGCCTAGGTCGATTGACCAATCTCGGTTGTTTAGCAGCTAGTTCTTCCTTCATAGTTTGCAGTTGCTGACAATAGATATCTAGCGTAATCGTTTGGCCAGATTTTAGAAAGCTGTAGTGAACGACACCGACACTAGTCCACTAAACACTCCCAATAATAATTTTTCTGAGTCAATTTTTGTTTAGGGCAGGATTTGACTGGGTCTCCAGAGATCAGTCATTGCGACGGGCGCTTCCAATTATCGTACAGTATCCACTTTCTATCACAAGTAATGATTCGATTTAAAATCCCTTCATTTTTGTGTCGATTGAACAAATTAACACAGCAGTCGACGCGTGTTTGCAAGTTCGATTCACTCAATTCATGAGGTACCAATCGTTTTTTTACTTTCCCGATTTGCTTCAAGTGAATTAATACAGTTTTATCACTTACCCCGAAGCCTGCAGCTATCTTTGAAGTGCTTTGTGATGGATCCGCTTCCACAATAGCCTTTAATCCTTCATTTTACACTTTGGTCTCCGGCCGTCCACGGGGTTGGTTCTGAAGGTCGAAATTTCCAGAACGAAAACGTTGAAACCAAAAACGTACCGTGCTGTCTTTTGCGACACCAGCGCCGTACACATCATAAATCCTTCGAGTTGTTTCTGCAGCACTGGTGCCACGGTAGAACTCGTAGGTACTCGTAAATATACTGATATTTCATGTTATCCATTGTGCGGTAGTAAGCGACGCCAAAGAGAAAAATAATGAGGAAAAAACAAACGAATGACTGTTTTCAAAACTCAAATGTACCAGCTAAATGAATTTATTAATTTGAATTTGAAATTCTTAACCAAAGAGGAGATATTTCAGATCAAAGTGGTCAGTGCGGCAAAACGCTAATTTCATATGTAAGGACCCAATATCAAGTAAGGCAAAGAAATGTTTACGTCAACGGTTTTATAAACTGGGCTAAAGTTGATGTTTTGAATTGTTTGTTCAAAGCTTTTCATATTAGTTTTAGGAATGGGGTATTTACACATAGGTTTCAGTATTTCAAGACTTTTTAGTTAAGTGTAGTCTAAACAGGAACCACTTAGATGAGTAAGGAGCAAATGTGCTGGAAGCAGGCCCTACCGTGCACTGATATTAAGGTAGTCTATTGCTCCGTCTTCGCCATCTTCTGCGTTGAGATCTATATTCATATCAACCATTAACATTATATTTTTGAATGGCGTTAGTTGCCTAAGTGCATTGTGTAATGACGTGATAAAATTGTCTGTTTGTTTAAATCCACATGGTATGTAAACAGCAAGGATAGCAGTTTAATGGTCGGTATTGGTCGGTATATATCACTTGGCTATAGTACTCAAGCGAAGTGTACGGTTTCCCCCAACTTTCCCAGTGGCAGCTTCTAAAGTTTAGAGGCTATTACTCGAGAACCTTTCTTTCCTATCGGTTGTGAGTTCGACTAATACGACCGGCCATTCGCCGCTTCAGATTACTGATTCCTTGGGCTACTTCGGTTACTCTGGTTCTACTGAGGATATCCTCATTACGAACTCTATCACTTAGACTTAGAGAAATTTCGAGCATACATACATAGCTCAATAACAGCTCCGTGGTGCAGTGGCTTAGCAATGAGTTGCATCGCT